GGTGCGTATGTTGGCTGCGATTTGCAAATGAATTGAAACCAAATCTGCACGCCCGCCCCCCCGCCCCCCTCCCGGTTGTGGAGAGCATACACGAGGGGGTTAGAGGCGTGGGGCGGGGGGTGGATGTGGTTTTTTCAAAATTGCGGTCCAGAAAATTTTTTAGTTTAATGCCAAGCGATTGGAAAGTGCCAGTTTCCTGCTGATTTTGCAAAAGTAGTTGGTGACGACCGGGTGGTTAGAACAACAACGACAAACAGACTTCACACCCGAAACGGGGATGGAGTCATAATAACTGCCAGTTATGCCTCTGTATTTACGCTGTTCAGATAGCCACCCCGCTGTAGTCGGCATCTTGGTTTAAGAAACTGTATGTCTCCCCCTGGACGAGTCCAGGGAAAATCAAAGGCTGGACAGTCCCAAGCAGAGACACTGACATATATGTGGCCAAAAGCTAGAGACAAAATAAACTCATGCCCTTAGAGCTGAAACGCGGGAATCAGTGATCTTGCTGCTGCTCAGATGCTTGATAAACAGGGGATGAGAACGATACTGAACTGGATAAAGGTAGAGTGACCGTCTGTTTCTTCCTATAGATAAAATATATAATTCTGGGGACTCATGCCTCCAATTTTGAACGCGTTTACAGTTCTCTGTATCGGTATTGTATTGAAGAACGTCTAATGGTAGACACCATCTCTATCTGATTAATGCATACCTACCCGACCATGTCAACCCGCAGTCTTTACGTATATCATGGAAATGTTGTACTGCTTGACAAAGTGTTTCAGCTAGTGGACACTGAAATCTTATTTCCATTGAGCGAGACCTAGCAAAAAACTTAAATTACAAAAAAAAACTCATAAAACACTCTTCATAATACCAGGGTAACTGCGGCCGGACAGCCAAATTGTTTGAGCACCCATGACCTAAATAATGCAATAGAAAAATATACAGACAGCCGTATTCGGACGATCCCTCCTGCCACTAGCGAAATAAATTTAAAATTGTGCATTAGCTTGAGAGACGCCTGATCGATCCCTACTGAGCAAACTCTGCGAATTGTTCTGAATTCATAGATTTATAAATGCCTTGAATCGATAAGTACGTTGCAGGTGCTCTGCTGTTCAATTTCAGTTCAGTAAAATCCCACGTAGATGGTTGCTGTCTCACTTGAACTTGAACACAGAACAAAATATTTAGACCTTACAGACTGTATCACCTTTTCCACAGGAACAGCTTGTAGTTACGTTCGTTCGTCACGTTATGTCTTCACAAATCCTGAGGCATAGATACATATACATAACAACAAGCCAACGTCGCGGGTTCGTCCTTGGTCACTGAACAGACTTTCCAAAATGAGGAAGTGTTAGGGAGATCGCTTAATGGGCACAATTACCGTCAAGTGTTTTTGTCTAACCAACCACCGATTGCACGTATATGGCCAAGCGATGCCAACAGCACATTTTAAGTGAAAACCATCATCCCCACTTACATTTGGGCCATTTTCCTATCACCAAGCCCGAGAGCGCTTTTCGACTGCCAGTTTAGGTAGATGGTAGGTAGTGTCGGGCACAAGTGGTAATGGCGAGAGGGTGTGAAAAAAACCACACAAGAACTTAAACCAAATCAACACCTTGTGGCAATTAAATTAGTTGCGTGTTAATTTTTACCGATGTTAATGTGATCGCAGTGTTAGCAGGAGACGAGTTGGGAGAACGCTCTGGTAGACTACTATATCAGCGGTGAATGTTTGTGGTGCGCCGGCTGGTAATGTATGTCGTCAGAGGTGCCTGATATGTGTTTTTCGCATTAATATTACTTCTTATACAGACGGAGAAGTTGCACAGTGAAAACAACTGGCTTCCTACAGTAGACAACGCACTTCGCTGTTTACTTACAGTCTTTGTTCCGCGGAAGTCAAACAATTCTGACTACTAAGACGTCTCATTGGGTCGTTACAATTCACCTGTTTAGCACCATGGATTCAGGTGCAAGCCGCTCTTGGAGAAATCTCATCGCGACAATAATCAGAACAATAAGTCATACAGGAAATCTTTTCTGATTGGTATCACAGCATTTTTCATCGTCGGACTAATTATGACCACGGATTAGCGTTGAAAGTGGACTGAAGAAAGAGATACAGTTGAAAAAACTGAAAAGGGCATAAGATTGAACTCGGGAGATTCAAGGAAAGTCATTGCTACCCTCAGCAATTGCTTCGCTCACATATTCATAAAAGATGAAATTCGGCGGCGCGACCATTCAAAAGTCTATTTTAATCAAACCCAGCAGTATTATTTTACACTCAAGGGTATGTCAAAAATCAATAGCCTCGGGGAACTATCTTAGCTTATGCAAAGCGATTATAACTCAAAAAGAAGCCAGATTTGAATGGACTGATTTCGGTATTTCCCGGTAACCATATGAGAACAATTGAAGGGATTAAGATGCCCCCTGATTTGCGATTCTTGCCAACTGACCGTAAGAACACCAGTTTTAAGCAAGCTCTGATGCAGCTTATTCGAATCTTAGCCGGCTTCTACACTTTAAAAGATTAAGAGGAATCAGTTCGCTAAAAAGGTCTTAAATAAGAACTACCCCCATACCTTGCTAACGTGACAGAGGGATGGATAGATACTTTGAGGTTGAATTGCAGCCAAAGCCGTACTGCCGTACTCATTGACACATATGCTCAATTTTCGGGGATTATATCAACAGTCAAGCAAGGGTCTCCGTAAAATGGATCTCAGATCGGTAGGATACGCAGCACCGACTGAGTAGACGCAGAACATTTACCTAAGCAAAGTATACTAAAACCACCAAAGCCAATTAGCTAGTCAAATAGGAAGTTGACACAGAAGGTGCCAACACATCAAGGAGAAAGTTTTTAAAAGAAAGGAATGTCATGCGCTGGTTGGTGAACACGTCAGTGTAACATAACCGTACACTACCTAATAACAGCCTAATGTCATCTCACAAGATGCATTCTGAGAACAAACTCTGAGAGCGAATTTCGTTTGGATCAGGAGTCGGAATCGGTTATACGTCGTTTGCCGAGAGGAGAGAGGACTAAGAACGCTCCCCGCGTAATACAGATGACATTGCGTATGTGTACCCGTGCCACATAATAACCCCAGATTTAACCCAAACCGTAACCTTACCGTGGCCCTTACTTTATCTGCCTTGGAACCTGGTACAAAAAACACCTGCATTAGGAGTCATCTCCATTTAGTTGCCCTGTCCAAGGTCCACATAAACGACCCATACCGCAGCAGGCAGTGCAGAAGATATCAGCTCGCGAAGTTCGAGGCCTAAAGAATACGTACACGATAATTGGAGCAGCTCAAGCTAACTTCCAAGTCGTCCTAGGGTACGACAAAATGGCCCATAGTAGTAAAATGAGGAAATTTTTATTTCTAAGAGCCCTGCAGGTCTTCGTTGTACTGTCGCGTACCGCCAGTCCGAAGAAAATGAATCGAAATGCCCTGAACAGTCAGCAGGAGTTTCAACTAGTCAGTACATTGAATGATCAGCCAGCCATACAAGGAAAAGCCCTTCGGCGAGAGTAGTACACTATCGGCGCGTAGAACTCCCCCGCCCCCTCTCCCCCCGCAGGAGTTCAATTGACGTGGGAAATTTTGGAGTGCCAACTTCACTGCAGCGAAGAGAGGACGGCACTTTCAGGCTGCTTTCCCACTTCTTTCGCTCTCTTCACCGGAGCTTGTTGGTCAGGTGTCATCTCACCCTCTCCAACAGTCAGTGAATCAAACAAAACGGAATTGTGGGCCGCGATGCCCACTGAGAGAGCGCGGAGGAGGAGGC